TAAAATAAAATAAAATAAAATAAAATAAAATAAAATAAAGGCATAAGGATGCTCTGGTCCTTATTAGTGGATTTAACTCTTCTTTGTTTACTTATCAGTGAAAGGAAAAAGGTGCTTGATCATTAAGCTGCACTTTTTTATGTCTTAGGAGGCCACGTGCAGGCGATTCTGACCAGTGATTCACCAGCACTTGTGGGCTCTACTATAACGTTTGTGGTAAACCTGGTATTCCCCAGATGCCAAACGGAAGATGTTAGTGGCAACATTGTTTATGAGAAGAACTGCAGAAATGGTAAGGAATGTTACTCATGCCACAGGAACAGGCTAGTTCTATTGGAGACCTATCTCATAAACCTAAAGGCTCACAGGTACTTCTATACGTGCAAGATGCTATTATCTCATGTCACCCCCTACTGAAATTGGGTAACAGGGAGGGGTTCCCACATCAACATTAGCCAAACCCACTTGAGCAAACAAACTAATGGCTTTCTGCCTCCTGGAACTTTCTTCAAAAGTTACATTATCACGCTCAGCCTTCTCTTAGTGTCTGGTTGATTAGCCAGAAAATACATTGTTGATTCTCAGATTTTGGTTTGATTACTTGGAATTCTTTTGGCTACTCAGAGAATAGCCAGTTTGACAGATGTTTACTGATGATATTAATTTCTGCTCACAAGTATCACTTATGCAAATGTGTAGCTAACACAAATGCTCAGATGTGTATATTTTGGTTTTGCTTTGCTCTTAAAGCAGGTGAGCTCTTTGTACATGTTAAAGAGCACAAATGAACACAAATGCATCAAGGGAAATTATCTTGAGAACTGCACAGTCTCAAAAACTCCGAGCTAATTACTGAGACTCTTTGATCATTGACAAGACTGTTAAATGCACTTATGATCTGATTGATTGATTGATTGATTGATTGATTGATTTTGAAAGAGGGAGCTTGTGTGAGTGCAGGGGTAGGGGAGAGGGGCAGAAGGAGAGAGAGAATTCCAAGCAGGCTCTGTGCTGACAGCATGGAGCCGATTGCAGGACTCAATCCCACAACCCTGGGATCATGACCTGAGCCAAAACCAAGAGTTGGACGCTTAACTGACTGAGCCACCCAGGCGCCCCATGATCTGATTTTATTACTTACAACTTCTAATAGATTGTCAGTGTGTTCATTCCTTATTAAGTTATCATCTTCCTATTAGGAATTGTACATTAGATTCTGTACAAAAAGGGTTTGATATTTTTAAACTGTTAAGTGCTTAATATTTTGTAGTAATTTTTCTCTTTTCTAAAAAAGCTGATTTTTATGAATATTTCAAGTGACAATCTATCTCTCTGAGCATTTTTATATAAAGGAGTCTCAGTGACTTATGAAAATTTTTATATAATATCTATTACCACGAAAAGGAACTAGGGGATGGGGCGCCTGGGTGGGTCAGTCGATTAAGTGTCCGACTTCGGCTCAGGTCATGATCTCAGGGTCCGTGAGTCTAAGCCTCGCATCAGGCTCTGTGCCGACAGCTCAGCTTCAGATTCTGTGTCTCCCTCTCTGTCTGCCCCACTCTCGCTTGTGCTCTGTCTCTCAAAAAAAAAAAAATGAATAGATGTTAAAAAAAAATTTTTTTTTAAAGGAACTAGGGATCTTTGAGGAAAATACTAATTCCAGGTCGAGGACAGGGAAAGTACCAGGTGAGCCTGCCCCAAAGTGCGGAAATGCTCAAGGACCAATGGGGACACATCACAAGGACACAGGAGCTAGCTTGAAGGGACTCTCACTAGCTATTTGGGACAATTTAAGAATTAAAAAACAATAATAGATTGATAAATAAAAAGTTTCTTCAAAAATATCAGTGACATAAAAAACCAAGAGGGTGAGGAAACTATTCTAGGTGAAAAGATATTTACCATAACCTGTTTAAAATGAAATATGTTGGGACACCTGCCTGGTTCAGTCAGTAGAGCATGCAACTTTTGATCCTGAGTTTGAGCCCCACATTGGGTATAGAGCTTACTTTTAAAAAGAAAAGAAGAAATATATCATATATACAAAAAAGTTGAAATCAGGGTATACTGAACACACAAATACCTTCTACCTAGATTCAACAATTGTAACTTTTTCCATATTTACTTCTATTTTTTTTTCTGATCATTTGAAGAGACAGAATAGCCAAATGTTGTATGTGACCCTTGATTAGACTTTAGTGGGAGTTGTAATGATACTGAGGTTATGTAGGAGAATGTCCTTATTTTTAGGAGAAGCATGCCAAAATCTTTAAAAGTAGAGAGTCATTTGATGCCAAATGACTCAGGAAAGAAAAAAAGAAGAAGCTACAGAAAGCAGTACCAACATAAAAAGATAAAGAAAGCATCCTTCCGTTTGGTTTGAATACAGTTGTGATTCAGAGAACCAATATTAAAAATAAATATATTGTGATATCTCTAGATTGAACCTTTCTAAATAATTGCTTTAGATGAAACTTTTACTGAAATGTAACCTATCTGCAGGAAACAGGCATACATATGCACCACCAGATGAATTCTGAATTTTAGGGTTTTAGTTGTCCAACTGTATTTATATTTATGAAAAATAGGAAAAGATGTTTAATTCAGTGATGAGCATTGAGCATTCTGAGCCCACATGACAAGCTTGGCTTGTGTCTTTCTCTGTTTAGATACTGGTCCATCTTCTGACCAGTATGTTTACAACTGGACGGAGGAGGTTGACTCGGGAAATGGCAACAGCCCAGGCCATCAGAACGTGTTCCCTGACGGAAAGCCTTTCCCTCACCACCCCGGATGGAAGAGATGGAATTTTGTCTACGTCTTTCACACACTTGGTTGGACATTTTACAAAACTCCCTTATCTGCTTCTTTACTTTCCCTTAAAATTTCCCTTTTTTTTCTTTTCTTATTCCATAATCAAGAATTCTAACACTAAGAGTTTCACAACAGTTACTTTGTTAACTTTTCTTAGCTGGGGTGGAGGGTATGGAATAAAAATAAAATCTTGTTTAGCCTTAGCAAATCTTTGGGACACTATAGAATTGAAAGATGGAAAAAAACGAATTCAGCTTTCTTTTTTAAAATAAAACTACTCAATTTATTTCTGTCTAAAACAGCAATATGAAAAAATATTAGTATTTCTTTGAATGGCACACAGATGGGCATTTGATTTTTTCTTTTTTTTTTTTTTTCAACGTTTATTTATTTTTGGGACAGAGAGAGACAGAGCATGAACGGGGGAGGGGCAGAGAGAGAGGGAGACACAGAATCGGAAGCAGGCTCCAGGCTCTGAGCCATCAGCCCAGAGCCCGACGCGGGGCTCGAACTCCCGGACCGCGAGATCGTGACCTGGCTGAAGTCGGATGCTTAACCGACTGCGCCACCCAGGCGCCCCTGTCAAGAGAATTTTTAAGAAGGAAACTTATGCTCTTTATAGGAAATTTGGAAAATACAGAAAAGTACAAATTAAAAATGCAAAGTACATAATTAACACCAGTTGTTACCACTGTTAACACAATGGTGGGTTTTGTTTTTTTTTGCTAGTATTTCTTAAGATTATACTGTATACACATTTTTGTTGAATATCATGAGCATTTGGCTATTATTAAAATTATGTACATTATTTTAATGACTGCATAATATTCCATTGTGTAAAAATAACATAATCTAACTACTATTCTTCTTTGACATAGTCTACCTTCTTTTTTTTTTAAGCACAAATGTTATCCACTTTTGTTTTATTATTGTTGAAGTGATTGTTTTTAGGAGGAGCAAATTTAGGTTATAATTAGCAAAACCGCTAAGTTCTTAGTTAAAAACATCACCAGGTCCCACCTCGCTCTGACGTACAAAGACTGCTACCAATCGTACAGGCTCTAAATTTCTAAATGTTTTGTCTTCATAAATTAGAGAAAGTTTCTTTGTCCAATTAACTCATTTATAAATCAAAACAAATATTAACAATGCACATCAGTTTAATGAAGTACAAAATATAGATCAAATATTATGCCCATCTAGTTAAATCAGGGGATTGAAGGCTGGCTTTGTTTCACTGTCTTCATGGCCCTGGCAGTCAACTCACCAAATGTCATCATTTCTTTGACTTTACCATTTGCATGGAGTCGTGTATGCTCACTAACACTCCATTCTCTTCTTAGCCCAGTTAACATCCATTAATTTAGCTAGTTAGGATGTCTTTATTAAAAATCAGCTTTCAGCCCAGAAATTGCCATTTTTCTAACAAGACTTTTGAATTTCCATATTCTGATGTCTCTGAGTTAACTGATAATCTCCTTCAACTACCAAGTACTTCTGTGGTCTTTCAATGCCCAGGCTAACATTTTCCTCACGTATAACTAACTCCCCAAGAGATACCTTCTTCCCCTACAACCTCCAACAGAACTACCCCTGCATTTCAAGATAAAGGGGATCCCACATCACATCTCCCTGAGAAGATTAGTGTATTTTTCTGATACCTTTGACCATGTAATAAATATGGTCCTTAGTCATCCCCACAAGCATCCATCTTACCATCTCTGTTGTTCCAATCACACATCTATGCTGGGTGCCTCAATGGGATTAGAAAAACATCCCTGAATCCTGAAGGACAGAAATTACCTTCACTAGCTAGCCAGTGGTAGTTAGATTTATGTGAGGGCTGGAGAAAGAAAAAGAGTGAGTCAGGAGTGTCCTAGGAATGTGTTTATAGAACCACTGCATTATTTTTTATACTCTTTTTAATCACTTACTGACTGCATTTTTATACATGAATACTATCAGAAAGTGGACGATTCTAGTCCCCTAAAAAAAAAAAAAAGCTGCTCAATAATAGAGCTGAAATAGTAATATTGTTACAACAATAAGGTAGATTTTTGGATAATTTGTTTTAACTCCCTTGGACACTTTTCTATGGGAAACATATGTATTTCAAGTGCCTGATCACTTATAAAAACTTTTTTATTTGTAAACTAAGGACTAACTGTATTATCCCACCAAACAGCTCTTTTCATTTTGACCAACTACATACAATTATATTTATTTAGTTGTGGGTTTGTTATAGAAGGTTTTACATGAAATAAACACTATCTTCCTTTCTGAACCAGTTAGGACCACATCCCCATCCTGTTTTTCTTTCTCCAGAGCACTCTCTAAGTGGCAGTCACAAGTCGTTAAGAAACAACAACTTCCTAAAATGATCATGTAATGTGCCAATAACTAAAAATTTCCATCTTTTCAAAGGTCAGTATTTCCAGAAATTAGGACGGGGTTCAGCAAGAATTTCTGTAAACACAGCCAATGTGCCACTTGGCCCTCAACTTATGGAAGTAACTGTTTATAGAAGACACCGACGGGCATATGTTCCTATTGCAAAAGTGAAAGATGTGTACGTGGTAACAGGTGAGTCGTGTGAACTCTAACTGATGGTGAAGCACTTAGTTCTGGTGACTAGTTGGTTAAGAAAGAGTTAGAGCCAAGTGTTTGGGTTAGGTTGTGATTCATATAGGTTCCTTCCCAGACTTATCTATTATATTGTACCCCATCTATGATTCCAGAATAACTTGGGAAAACTTGTATAGGAAAAGGGAAAATGATGCTGAATTATCCCTAATTTTAATTTTTTAACCTGAAAACATTATTGAAGTCATCCACTTAAAATCAAGCAATCATGTGTTCTTTCTATTTTCGGGTGTATTTTTTAGATCACATTCCTGTGTTTGTGACTATGTACCAGAAGAATGATCGAAATTTATCTGATGAAACCTTCCTCAGGGACCTCCCCATTATGTTCACTGTCCTGATTCATGACCCCAGTCACTTCCTCAATGAGTCGGCCATTTACTACAAGTGGAACTTCGGGGATAATACTGGTCTGTTTGTTTCCAACAATCCAACTTTGAATCATACATATGTGCTCAATGGAACCTTTAACCTTAACCTCACTGTGCAAGCTGTGGTGCCTGGACCCTGTCCTTCACCTTCACCCAAACCTCCAAAACCCACCTCTTTTCTACGTAAGTGTTTCCAGGTGATCTTTGAGTGGGGGGGGGGGGGGGGGGTTCCTTAACACCTAAGAAACACACACACACACACACACACACACACACAAGAACATAGGTTACATAATTACATCACTAGTTTAAAGGATCGTGTAGAAACTCTGCAGTGATGCCATTCTGTACCTGTTATTCTTTAACTACTTTATCACCATTTTAAGCTGTTAGAATAGAGAAAACAGGAGAGCATGTTTAAAGTCATTTTGCAAGTAGAATTTCATGACTTGTGCGCAGCTCTTTGAACTTCCTAATATGTACTGGTCCTCCTTATGTGTAGAGATGCTTTCCCGGTCTGGCCCATCACATTTCTGTTACTCTCCCATTTTTTCTAGCTATGAGAGGACACCTTGTCCCCTTATAAACATTCAGGCCATCCCCACTTCCAATCTCCTCCCTGCCCTGCCCACATCCACCTAGTGTCCCATGAAACACAGCCGTCCTTGAAAGTAGTTTCCAAATGGCCCAAGAAAGAATGTACCTTGAGAGTATTTCTCAGTGAGCAAGCTGGACAGACACCAGACATAAAAATTGCTCTGGATATAAGGCATAATTAATTAAATCCCACGCTCTACTGATAGTATATAAGGACATTCATGCAGTTGTTAAGAGTCTACTTTGGAAAGTGTTAGGTTGCATCTGATGCCCCATCCTACCCTACATTATTACATCTTAGCATCACTTTATCAGGGGAAGGGTAATAGACTGGCATCCCCCTCACTGGTCACAAGAGGGCGCCATCCCCAAGCCCAGAGGAAATACTCCATCACGACGTCCAGATTTGTTGCAATTCTTTTTTTTTTTTAACCAAATAATAAGCGTTATAATAGTGTGTTATGAATAAAATTAAATCTTGTTAAGTCTGGCCTAGCTAAATCAAGACAATACAAGTCATTACTGATTTTGATTCCTTCTTCTTTGAAACGTTTTAAATTACAAAATTAATGCATGCTCCTTAATAAAAATTCAAGCGATGGAGAAGTCTAGAATAAAAGTGAAAGTCCCTATTCACATTCTCCTCCCAAGCATTAAACCTTATTAATAGTTGAGAGCGTTTCTTTCCAGATCTTTCTCTATGCATCACAAACATATTCTATAAATATACATAGGTGTTGTTGGTTTGATTTTTATGTAAATGAGCTCATGCTATATATATGGTTCTGTAATTTGCTTTTCTTCACTTAACAAACATCATAGACATCGTTCCCTTGTCAGTTCATATAAATATAACTCACTTTATTCAACAGCTACACAGTATTTCGTTGTAGGTATAACACAGTATATAAGTACATAGGGTGTATAAATGTATAATTTATTTAACCATTCTCTTATTGACACTTGATTAGGTTAATCCTAATTCCAGTTAGAAATATAACTGCACTGAACAAATCTAATCATATAGCTTCATTCTGGTATTTCTGTAAGAATATCTTTTTCTATAATTATTGACGATCTTCTTTATAAGTAAGGAGACCAGGTATAAAATTCGAAATACACTGTAGATGCCTGTAATTTTAGAACTGTCCAGAAATTCCTAAATGGTAAAGGATTTAATGTTAGTTTATTTAACATTCATTTTTTTAAGTTGCATTTTTATTAAGCTGTTTTTCTTAGAATGTATTTATATCATACAGCATTTATAAAAAAATATGTTTTAAGTCACTGAGAGGGTATTTCAAATTTTTGTTATTATTTCCATAGGTTGGATCACTAGATATAAGGTAGTAACCTTATGAGTTAATCACATTTTATAGTGAAGGGAAGCTTCACTATAAAGCCTGGCTTTATCTAATTGGTCCTTTAATTATACCTTGATTTTACAGATACATGGATATAGACTTGACCTTATAGATATGTCTACAAAATTCCGTATGAGTTTTTACAAGCATTCTACCAAAGGTAGAATCTTAACTTTTGTCATTTGGGCGTTTTTTAAAAGAAGTTTTATTTTAAAAGGTCATGATTCCATGTTCTAACTTGGTAATTTCTGCCTGTTAAGGGGTCCAGCCATCTTTAATACCCAACGCAAAAGAAATCTCTTGCTGTGTCTCTTTTCCAAAGCGTGTGCCATGCAGCAGTTGTTTCCAGAGAAGCTCTGGGAGTCACTCAGAGAAGACCCTCTGAACAAAGGAGAGTCACAGGGCTCATCCATCTACCCACTAAAGGCTCAGAGGAGCCCTCGAGAAATCTCCCAACCAGCTTCATACCTACATGTCACTACGTTAGGGTGCAGCTCGTCTGAAGTTCTGATGCCCTTCCCACCCCCCAGCTAGGTTCACTTTCATGCCTTTTGAAATTTTCAATATCCTATTTTCCTTCCAGTCTTTTTATTTTAGTAAAGGAATACCAACACCATAATTAGAGCTTTTAAAATTGTAACTAATAGAGCATTAAATTCTTTGCCTTAATCATGTTCGACAAGTCATTTTCTTTTTCCAATGTTTAT